GATAGATAGATAGATAGATAGATAGATAGATAGATAGATAGATAGATGAAGGAGGGAGGGGAGTACTTTTGGGGGCGGGGTTTGCTTTGCAGTTGAAACAGAAGCTGACAGGAAAGTATTGAGGGTAGCTGCGCGTAAAGTGCGCGTACTTGGGTCGTTGGCGAAAATCGGACGCGCTGGACCCGCAGGGATCGATCGTGACCTGGAACAGCCATGCGCGTGCTCGGGGGCTGCCTGCTGTGCGCGCTGCTTCTGTCCGCAAACGCGGAGACCACCGCGGGGTTGATTCCGGCCGCGGGTCATCCTCCGCATCCCGATGATGGGAACTTTTCAAAGCTGGATCACGTGGAGACAGAGCCCTTTCAGCACCAGCAACAGGCGCGAGAGACCCTGGCAGGTTGGCACGAGTTTAAAATTAAATTATAAAATGTGTCAAGATTTATTTTGTGTTTTTTTTTCATCGCTGAATGGACATTTTTCTTTTATATTTCTGTGTTGGTTAAGCGAAAAAAATGAATAAGAAAAGATGCACATCACCCTAATTCTAAACCAAAGTTTTGCTTTTTTTTCTTCTCTGTTTATCTCTTGTCTGACAGCCAACACAATAAAGGATGGTTGAAACAGATTATAGCCTAAGATGACCTTATTTAGTTGGCTCAGACCATCTGTGTGAGGATTTGCGCACAAATCTAGTAATCTGTTCATGAGCAATAAGTGATGTGAGAGTCTGTGTCTTCATGAATAATGGCCTCTCCATCTGGCCCTTTTTATGGCATCAGACAGCAATTTGTCATCCTGCGTACATCATATACAACATTATGGCAAGATTTACATATGGATTGGACTGAGAGTTGGCAAGTGTTTTCATGAAGGCAAAACAAAAGAAAATCTCAAATTAACAGAGTCCAGAAAGATGGTTCACACATTATATGTTCCCGTAGAGGCAACCTGCATTCATGCAGATAACCTTTTTAACAGTTTGACAGGTATTCATCTTTGAAACTTGCTCAATATGTCTCCAGCCATTTCTAAAACTCTGTGTGAAGCACGTGTCCCTTTTCCTGAACCAGGCTTTTTTTTTTTTTTTTGCTTAGGAGCTGAAAGAGGGATTTGTGACCGGGTTTTGCTTATGAAGTGATTCATGACTAATTCATGCTGATGTAGGAGTGCATTACCATCCGCTCTGACATGATCCTCCTGTCTGCTCTGTGGACGATGGAGGTTTGCGAAATGGCCAAGTCTCTGGTCCCAGCCCCCTTCTACCCCCCCTCCTCTTCATCTTCCTCCTCCTCCTCCGCCCCTGCTGGCTTTGCAGTGGAATGCTGCCAGGCCCTCTCTCTTCCCAGCCTCCCTTTTTTTTTCTTCGGCGCTGAGTAAACTGAGAGGAATGCCAACTTGCTCTCGACTCGTACTTGATAAAACACGGACAACTTTCAGACGGGGATTTAAAAAAAAAGAGAGGATCGTCCGCCCCATGCTGAGAACAACATCTCCATTGTGCTGCTGATTAATGGAGATCAATAGATTAGAGATTTTACAATTTACCGCCCGGGAACACCGCAATTATTTCATTAGAAGATCAAGGATTTAGTTGGGACATCAAAAGCTCTCATCAGCCTACACGCCAAAGCACATTTCTGCCTTAAATTCCACCTCAGTTTGTAGCTCAGAAATGACTAAATCAAAGGGGTTGTCCATTGTGTTTTTCTTCATTACTGGAACCTATGGCCTAATTCCAACACACAGGCTGGGTGGAGGTGGGGTTCGTATGAGATAATTCCCCGTCAGGCCATCTGTCTACGCTGCCTTGTTGTCCAACCAAATCAGCGATTCTGCATGTTTGTGATCTCTCTTGTGTGTCGGATTTATCGCAATCCATCGTCCACCCAAATTTTCTATACCCGCTTATTCCAAGGATGGTCTGCAAGATGGGCTGAAGCCCTATCCCAGCGGTCATACAACATAGTCAGGTCCCTAGTTCATCAATGGGCCTGATTTGTTACCATTTGTTAGCAAAAAAAGACTTGCTTTTAAGACATGATTACAGATTACAGAGTAAGACATTTGGTCATCCGCTCATATTTGTATGTTTATTTCTGTGATAATTTCCTTTCATGCTTCACTGAAACCCAAAACATGTAGCTTTGGACCCATCTCCCACCTGCAATCAGAGCCCTCAGGCAGCACATTTTAGTCCACTTTGTGGTGTCGTTCAGATGGCCAAATAGGCAGATTACAATCATCTGGCGCAAAACACCTCCAATTCAGATTTAGTGACCTCATTCTGTCACATTTAGCCCCAAAGACACGACACACACATTGAAAAGAGTAGGCCGCCTCTCCGAACAACTAACCCGCTGTCCATCTCAGCATGTTGACACCTCCACATGTACATGTTTACCTCAGAGGGGTGGTTAAAAATGTAAGTTCTAACAATAGCTAAAAGCGTTCGACTGTTTAAGGGAAATTGCCGTGAGCGATGATGTGGGTTGATCTGGCTGCCTGGCTTTGGTCCGAGCTGAAAGCAAAGCATGGCATCCCAAGTTCTCAGTTAAACCTTTTGGCATATCCTTTTTTTAGTAGGAGGATTATGAGCACCAAGAGCATGCAGCAGTTCAGACCCCACTGTCAACACTCTTTTGTCACTATTATATAAAGATGCTCAGAGCATTAATAAGGGGATAGAATATAAAACATAAAAATAAACATGACCTTTGAAAAGTTCACAGTTTAGAAGTGTGCATTTATAATAATAATAATAATAATAATAATAATAATAATAATAATTATTATTATTATTATTATTATTATTATTATTATTATTATTATTATTATTATTATTATTATTATTATT